GCAGGAGTTGGTCGTCGCTTAGCAGTGTAGGTAACCCATTCACTCATTTGCAAACCACCCTCCTCATGCCCGTTGAAGACGCTGCTGCCATACACCCCACGAGCTTTTCCTTTTAAATGTTTTGCTCCCTGGGAGAAAGCCGGCTGCTTTAGGCAGCGATGGGGAGGGGTGATGTCACTTCCGACAGCTCTGCCTGACCAAGCAATACGGCATTGCCCTCCGCAGGAACGCCAGCCCCTCCTGCCTTCCAGCTAAGCCAGAAGGAGGAGGGGGGGTGGGGCCCACTGGGGGTGCAGCAATAGCCCCGGGGGGAGGGAGCGGGTTAAAAAGCCAACAGCCACCACCTGAGGCTTGCTGGGGGGTTGGCTGCTCTACTGCTTCTGCCCCTCACCCCCCTCCAGCCACAGGCTGGCAGTTCAGGGCCCTTTCACTTTTCGGATGCGCTGGTGAGACTCATCCATCAGGTCAGACACAGACAGCAAACTCCACAGGGTGCGCAGAGGCGATCTTATTTTTTAATCTGGATATTTATTTTCAGCACCTGTTGGATGTGGTTGTGTTCTTTATCTATTGCACTGTTGTGAATCATTGGCCATGATTTGATTTTGTACAAATAACGCTTTGATATGTTATAGAAAACAGCATAGTATTTTTTTAAAATTTGGGGAAAAAGTTTATAAACACAGAAAACGTGGTCAGATGACAAATGTAAACTAAAGCATTCTCCCTTGCCTTCGTTACATACATTTTATATTTGCTGGCAATATGTAAAACTTCTTTTTTTGTTTGTTTAATTCACACTAATTCCTATTGAATTGTCATGGGTTTTTCTAATGTTCTTCAGACAAATCTCTTAATATTGGTTAACTTTTATTTTGTTAGGATTGTATTTATCAAGCAAATAAATTCAACGGCCATTTGAAAGTAGTTTCTAATTTATCTATTTCATCGTGCAATGGGGTAGCTAAGAAGTTCATAGGAAAAATGAGTTCAGGCTTTCTTAACAGCTCCGCTCTGAAGGAATGCTGTCTGCAACATTGTCACAGAGAGCCTCCGTAACTCAGTTGAAGACCAAGTTTAATTTGGTCGAACTAGAGATTTCAAGACTCTGCTTCTCTGTTGCTACCACTGAGTTCAGTTGTGAAGGTAAAGCCCACCCTATTTGTGCATCCATGTGCGCTGGCAGCCCAGAAGGCCAACCCTACCCTGGGCTGCATCAGGAGAAGCGTGTCCAGCAGGTCGAGGGAGGTGATTCTGCCCCTCTGCTCTGCTCTGGTGAGACCTCACCTGCAGTGCTGCGTCCAGCTCTGGAGCCCTCAGCACAAGAAGGACATGGAACTGTTGGAGCGGGTCCAGAGGAGGGCTACCAAAATGATCCGAGGGCTGGAGCACCTCTCTTATGAGGACAGGCTGGGAGAGTTGGGCTTGTTCAGCCTGGAGAAGAGAAGGCTGCGGGGAGACCTGATTGCGGCCTTTCAGTATCTAAAGGGGGCCTATAGGAAAGATGGGGAAAATCTTTTTAGTAGGGCCAGCTGTGACAAGACAAGGGGTAATGGTTTTAAACTAAACCAGGGTAGGTTTAGACTAGATCTAAGGAAGAAATTCTTTACAATGAGGGCGGTGAAACACTGGAACAGGTTGCCCAGAGAGGTGGTGGAGGCCCCATCCCTGGAAGCATTCAAGGCCAGGTTGGACGGGGCTCTGAGCAGCCTGATCTAGTTAGCGGTGTCCCTGCTCACTGCAGGGGGGTTGGACTCGATGACCTCTAGGGGTCCCTTCCAACCCAAAACATTCTATGATTCTATGATTTACCACATCATTACTACCGACCCCCGAGCAGCATTATGGCTAGAACTCCAGCACAGCCTGCAGTTAAAACCCTAAGCGTGAGTCAGTGCTGGCCAAGCCAAGCCCATGCTGATGGCACGGAACATGGGCAGCCCCAGGCAACCCTGGGCAGGTGGCAGAGGCAGCCAGGGCCCCACGCCCTGGGTGAGCCTCCCCCAGAGGCAGGTGGGGCCAGGGCAAGGCTCCTCCTGCCCCCCCACAGCCTCCACCCCAGGGCTTGGCCACCCCAGGTCCAACAGCAGCCACGCTTGCAGGGCTTGCAGCGAAAAAAGCCAGGCCAGCAGCAGTGCTTTCAAAGCCTGCATGTGGCAGTTGCACATAATCAGCTGAAAAAGCCAAAGCTAATTTCAAATAAAGTGGAAAGTAGTTACAATGCAACAATCTGAGCGCGTTGTTCGGATCGCTTTGCAAGCTGCCGTGTCAGTCCGAAGTGCCTTACACGACGATCTGCAAGCTGCAGCGCTCAGGCCACCGCCTCCCACGGCACCAGCGATGCCCGCGCCGCAGGCTGCCTTTGTGAAGCCCATGCCCGTCTCGGATAAGCAGTCACCTAAATCAAAACATTTTGAAGGCATTTAAACTGACTTAAAATAAGACAACTTTTCCAACAACATACAGCCTGTACATGCCGAGCACTGCAACAGAAGCCATCACAGACCCTTTGGCCGAAGCACCTGCCTGCCTTACCTTTACTGAAACGAGGAAACAACAGGCTCGCAGCGTTAATCCTAGCCTTCTGGACTTCACAAGGCTTTTGTGACAGTTTGACCCGGCCCATCTGCTTTCCTCTTGAAAGCCGAAGTCTTTCCACCACGGAGCATCACTTCAGGGAAGGGGAAGGGGCGGGTGACAGGACACGGGACCACTTCATTCCTTACCTGTTTTATGGGTCTTTCCAAGACAAGCCTGGAATGGATTTTGTCAAATCGGCCATTGGGAAACCTGAGGGAGCGAGAAGCACCCTGTGAACAAGTCACTGGGCCTACAACACCAACGCGGATAGGGACGCAAACCTGGGTTTTGCCAGCAGCAGCTTACTTGCATCCAGCTGGACACGTGACAGCTTTTATTCTCATAATGTCTTGAGGTACTGCAACTGTACAGTGAGCCAGTTTCAGACATCTTGCATACCAAGGAGGATTTTTTTCCTCCCAGTGAAGTCTCTTTGCTCTAAAAAATAGCAGCCTGAAGTGGGGGAGGGGAGGTGTATATATTGAAACGAAACAAAAAAACCCCCCACCAAACCCATGAGGAGTATTCCTCTGGGATCACATCCCTACCACAAGTCTAAAACCAGCAGCTCGTGTCCAACACCTTGCAGGGTTCCAGCCGTCTGCCCGGGTTCCCAGCGCTGGCTCAGCTTCACTCTCACACAAGCAGAAGCCACCGGTTCTGGTGTGACTCTGAACAGTTTCCTCTCCCATGCAGGGAGCTACGCTGAAAGCACCACTGTCTGCCACTGTCTTACAAGGAACCGTCAGGCGCTCTGGAAATTTACCGTCCTTGATAGCGAAACATTCCTGGCCAATACACAGGAAGCTTCCACCTCCATTCACTCATTCCAATACTAGCACCGGGGGGATTTATTTTTACCTCTGTCTCCCTTCAGGTTAATGAGCCAAGTCTAATTTTTAAAGTCTATGTACTGAAGCCAAGAATTTTACACCTGACCATATAAGGCAATTCTCTTTAAATTAAAATTTAAAAAAAAAAAGTTTAAAGCATCAACCTGAATCTCTGCCAAAAAGAGGTTTTGACCAAGCTTAATCTGTCAAGGTTTTCATTTTTCAGCACACAACTCTGACTCACAGTGCTTCATCTGCAGAGGGAAAAATGCCTCATCCAGACCAAATACGGCTTCCATCCAACAGCACGAAGTTCTCTACAGCGTTCTTTAAAACAGCCTTTAAAAGACAGCAGAAGCCAGTGGCACTGTGCTGCAGGCCAGGGAACGGCTGTCAGTCCTTACTGTCCCGGGAAGCCGAGGCACAGCCTCACTAGCACCGCCTGGGGCCGAGCCCCCGGCTGCCCCTCCATCCCCTCATGGATTCAGATACCCACAGCAAGGCCTGTCAGAACAGACCCCCCCAGAACAGACCCCTGGGGCACTCCGTGCCTCCAGCTGAGCGCTGGCACGTCCCTTGCTGACCCCCTCAGACACAATGGACTGGTACCAAGTTTCACCTGCAGTTTCTTGGGTTGCTGACTATCTTAACAGCGCAAGCAAGAAGGTCTGCCAAAGGATTATGTTGCAAAGCGTATGATTTTAACCGGACAACCCCACTCCCATGCACTGGAAGCATTCCCCATCTGAACTGCAAAACACAAGAGTTCTCAGTACAGCGAAGTCACAGCTCAGGGCAGTGTGAGCAGCCCTTGCTGCCTGCTAGTCTGCCCCAAGACCTGCCCCAGCCCTACCCTCTGGCTATACCAGAGCCCTAACAGTAGGTGACAGCCCTTCTACAACTTCTACTGACCATATCCAGAAGTGGGGGTGGCCTATGGGTAAGAGGAAGGCAGACATCAGGAAGAAGGCCAAGACCAAAGGTTGCTGCATCCTAAAACTTCTAAGGCTGCTCCTCAAGTCATTTTGACTTGTCAGACTCCTCCTTAGATGCTCCACACCCTCCCGTCAGGGCTGCCCCATCCTCCAAGGCAGGAACACACCAAGGCCACTGGAGAGAGACCAACCCACTGCAAACTGGGGCTCGTCAGCAGGGGCCTTCCCCTTCCCAAGTCCCTCTTCTCTGCTGGACTCCCCGGTCCAGGCAAGCAGCTGCAGGGCTGCCCCCCCTTGCCTGCAGCCTAAGGCTCCCCTGCCAAGGGGGAAGGGAGCTACAGCTCAGCAGACGACCGGGAAAACCATCAGTCGAAGAATTTTGATCCGACAAGTGGGAATACAGCATCCAGGATTTCTGCACCAAGGACTGCCATTTGCCAACGAGCACGAGCTCTGCCTGAGAGTCCCGATCAGCTCCTGTTGCTGCACCCTTCCTTACACAGAACCTTGCCCCAGCACCATGAAACGCTGCCTGTTTTATCACCGTGCGGGGCCTCGAGGTAGGTAGGGGCAGGACATCTCTGCTGCCAGCCTTGTCTCCCAT